TACAGACTGGACAATTTCGCCGGTGAAGTAGAAGGCCATGGAGCTGGGAGTGGAAAAGTAATGTGTCAGCAGAACGGTTGTGGGAGCTGGTGTACGGTGATCAAAAATTCGTCACCATCTCGATTTGACAATGTCCCACCTGGACGTGGAAAATCTGGAAGATTTTCTCTCTGCTGTTGATTCCGAGCGTAAAGGAGTTGCGTCTCCTCTTGCCAACTGGAACTTGTCATCCATCGAGTCAAAGGGGATTAATGGCCAATCAGCCAACTCCAGCTTGGAGGCCCAGCAGAAACCTGTTCATTCCTCAACTACCCCGAGGATCAATCCTTTTGCGAACGCGGGTCTTGGCCTCTTCTCTGGTCTTGGATCGGCCGTCGTATCTCCTCTGACCCAGAGCATGAATCCGGGTACCATTCCATCAAACCTGAGCAATGTGAAGGCAGAAATTTCGTTCACTACTACAGAGAGTTTGTCGTCTCCTCAGACTGCCCCGGTCTCCGCACAGAGCTCCCCTGTTGCGGGAACAGAGAACCATCTCGCACCTCCACCCCCCGTTACACGCCTATCTGCGTCCCCGAACTCTGCACAAAAGCGACTTGCAGCTTTCTTCCTACTCATGGATAATGGCGAATCTCTTCCGCTGATTATTGTGACCCAGTTACAAGACGGACTAAACAAGGCTTTCTGTTCTGCTGAGGAAGGGGTCACATTCTCGTCCGCACCGAATGTGGACCCAAATGCTGCAAAAGAGGAAGTCGCTGCGAAAGTTCTTCGCTATTGCGTTGGCCAAGCTGTCACGGAGGGGCACATGACATCGGAGGAAGCCAAGATGTTTCACATTCCAGCGACACCTCGTGTGGCCACTGCACAACCCCCACCTTCTTCCGCAACAAATGCAGTATCGCCTCTCGCTTCTACGACTGCCTCTGCGCTCCCTGCATCGACTGCGGCTGCCACGACCGCGTCCAGCACACCCGCACCATCCCCTGCAGCGCCCTTCCATGGTTCCCCTGTCCCCTTTCGCCCAGCTCCACAGGCTGGCGGCGGGTCAGCGGACCTTGCGAGTGCGATCGCTTCGACATTTGCGCAGCCTCCAGTACCTGGGCAATCCCAAGCGGCAGTGCAAGCGCACACCCCGAATCCCCTCCAGCCGCCAACCTCTGAGCCGCAGGTGAATTCGCTTGCTAACTCTGGCAAAAGGTCAGCTGTCGACTCCCCTGGCTCTTTCGAGCGGGTAAGCAAATCCATCAAGACCGAGGAACGCACCACTGCTGGCGCGCACTTCGCTCGCAACACTGGGGGGCCGACACCCACGCCTCTTGTTCCAACAACAGTGGCTGCTGCCGGTGACGGTGGGTAGAGGAGGATGTTTCTGTGATCTACACTTGTGTCCTTCCTGAACATTTTATACTTTTGTGGCTGCGGAGCCTCATTCGTTTTGATCGTTTGGAAGAAACAACCTGGTCTCGGCCGTTGGTTTAACTATCGGAATCATGTGTTGGCCCTCGGAATCCTGTCCGGATGATCGGTGCGACATATCTTTTTTTCCCCATCTGTTCGAAAGTTACTCTTGTTCGTGTCTTTGTGGGAGCATCATCTTCCACCCATTGCTATGCATATGGGTGCGAGGTGTTGCACTGGAAGGGATTCCAGCCCCATTTCGGTACCGGATATTCGGACATGATGTTGATCAATCAGTCCGCAGTCGTTTTTCGATTGCTGCTCTGAAAAGAGCAAGCGTTCGAGGAGCAATTGCCTTCAAATCGTTGTCGGTTTGAACTCGATGTTTTTTTCCTATTTGCTGAATTTCGGAACTTTGTATTCGGAGAGTGGAAGTGCAGAGCAAGAGGACTGCAAGTTTTAGAGACAAAGCTTGACCTTTTCATTGCTCACCTCAGGTGCTACGGCGCAGGAACCTCTGGTTGCGGATCCCTCTACATTCCTTGCGCAAATGTCTCCCAGCTTGCGCGGTGTTCTGCCCACTTATACTGCTGCTCAACAAGCTCTCATTTCTGGCGCTCCAGTTTTCTCCTCGCGACCGTTTGTGCCAACAGCGGCAGTCTTGCCAGGAGGTCGCACACCACTTTCCACTGCAGTAAGCCCTATCAGCCGCCTTATGGAGACGTGTGCGCGCATGGGGCTTGGAGTCCGTCCTGCACTCGAATGTGTCCAGTTACCCCATGGTGGATGGGTCTGTCGGGACACTTTTCTGGGGAAATCTTACGAAAGCAGATTCTGCTATGGCAGAAAGCAAGATGCGAGGGAAGACGTGGCAGAGCTGGTATGGATCGATATTGAAGCAGCCAGAGTGGGATCAGGAGGTCTTGCTGATGCGGTGAGGGCGAGGGGGATCAACATCCCTGCTGCGCCGCTGAGGGTCGGAGAACCAATTGTCGGGACCGCTCCCAACGCCGCCGCTCCAGGGGGAGGAACTCTTGCCGCACCACACTTACACCCAGTATCGAGGCTCAAAGAGTACAGTGAGCGTCGCAGGATGGGTCATAGTTTCTACCTTGAAGAGAGTAGGGAGGGCGGTGCTCCACGCTATCGCCAGCGAGCTAACGTCGGTAATAAGGATATGCCATGGAGTGCGTGGCACGGTTCCAAAAAAGCAGCCAAAGAAGAAGCGGCGAGATCGGCTCTATTAGAGCTGGGGGTGATCCAGAGTGGGGAAGTCGGTGGTGTTGACACAGTTTCTAGGGAACAAAAGGATGCTATGACACTCGAGAGTGTGAAGGATTGGAACAAGGCTATGATGGCACTCGCAAAGAGTATTGGTCGAGGGGGTGTTATTAGGAGAATTGCGGAGGAAAAGGTGAAAGGTGTTGAAGAGCAGCTGGGCAACGAGGTAGCGAAAGCAGATAACAGGGTGAAAGTCGTGGCTGCCAATGGATGGGGAAGGTGGGTTGGTCTGTCCAAGAACAATCCTGTGCGAGTACTCAGAATTCTGTTGTAGCTATTGCCGGCACACTACGATCCTTAATCATCCCACCAAGGTTGTATTGTACCTTCAGGCACCCCCAAACCCCCGCTTGGATTCCCTCCGGCCGACAAGCCACTTGCTTCAAGTTTTGCGGATTGCCGCAGAGCAATTCGCAGCCTCTCGGAGCCGCCGCGATGCTGTGCAGAACATCAGGTCAACTCATGCGGGCGTGACGTTCTTCTACTACGGCCAGCCCTTCGACGTTGTTCTTTGTGCTGAAGTAAAACGTCAAGATCTGGAACGATACATGTCCGAGGTGTTGAACCCGGCTAGCACAATTCCAGAATGGGAGAAGAGAGCTGCGGTGTGGGATTGGAGTTCTTGGTACGCCCGAGAAGGTGCGCGGTGGGCAGCGAGAGAGCGGATGAGAGAAAGAGATACTAGAGAGAATGCAACAACTTCGGGCACTCAGCAGGTGCTGAACAACAATGACGTCGATTGGAGGACGGCTGCCAAGCTTTTGAAGTTCATGATGATGGCGTACATTTGGCCCGTCGACAAGACATTGAGGGATGTGGAAGAAATGTGCGACTGGGTTGCGAGGGGAGCATGGGAGGAGGTATGAACTCAATCATGCTGTACTAAATAAGCGACTGATTACTCTTTTATTGGTACGTAGCTTGCTCGGCCTCCGAGCCCTCCACCCGGTCTCTTTCATAATATCCTTCACTGTCTGGTTCTCCTCGCTCGTCCCTCGCACCTCAATTTGGTTGCCCCGTATTCATTCTACGAGTCAGGGCTGGTACCGCCTGTTGTTGCTTCGCGGCGGCCGTTCATTGGAGATGCCGTCAACCCTTTCGCTAACTGGGCTGACGGTAACGACTCGGAGGTGTGGGCAGCAATTGCTAGCTGGGCGAGAGACTGGGCGCAGAGGCTGGGGAAGGCCGGAGGCGTGGAAGTGGAACTTGGGTCAGCAGATGCTAAAGCGGAGGGTGGTGCTGGTACGATGCAGGTGGATTCAGCCGCTGAAGTAAAAGTTCCAGTTGATGGAAGTGAAGACGATGATGAACCAGATGCAATCGGTACCGTCGTGGCGATGGGGACAGGAGTTCCAGCCGTGAGTCAAGTCACGTTTTGTTTTGAAATTGTAAACTCGTCGTTCATCCTCACTCCCTGTTACAGACTGACAGTGCTGTGCTTCGACTCTTCTCGCCCCGCTGTGCAGAGCCGGTGAAGATTCGTTTGGCTAGATTCAACGTTCGTCAGTATTTCGTACGTGTTCGGTGGCGGTAAACTTTACGTAACCCCTCCCGCAACGTATGCAGACTTCAACATTGATCCAAATGCCCACGAGCTCTTCCCGGTGTATACGCTCCCAGCTGTCCCCTCAGCGGTTCTAAGCGAATGTATTCGACGCGGTGTTCCTGACTGCATTTTGGCTGCTCTGGCCTTGTACACCCACTGTGAGGTAGAAAAGAAAAACCTGAAGGGAGATGCGTTGCTAAGGTGTGAAACTGAAAGCCACGTCAATCGTCGAACGACTTGAGAATTTTTTTTTTAACGTACCTGGTCCCACCTTTGCATAATCTTTGCCGACGCTTCCTCTTTCATGTGACAACACAGAACATCTGCCACGTACTTGAACTCGCTCCGGACCGTACTCTTTGACGAGGCCGAGCCTGGCAAAACGAACCTGTCCACCACTCCGTCGAGTATGGCAGCGGGAACTGTGAAGTACGAGGTGGTAGCAGGTTCTGGAAGGACCTTGCAGGTATCCATGTACATCGAGTAGGATGGTGGAATATTGCACGCATGACAGAGCTTGAAAATTTCATGACAAACTAACATTCACCAAAGTAATTCTCTTGCAATACATTTGAAACATTGGCGTTCTGAACACTAAACGAACGAAAAACACGAAAAACACCACATGCAGTCAAAACCTTGGCTCCTTCCTTTCAGTCGCCAAGGAGCCTGCCCCCGAAAACGGTGATCGTCAAACAAGCAGAGAACACTCTATTTGTGCTAATAATTTTATTGATTATTTAGCTACTACTTGTCCGGCACGGATAACACAGGGAGGATGGCCGAGTTGGTCTAAGGCGCCAGATTAAGGTTCTGGTCTCTTCGGAGGCGTGGGTTCGAATCCCACTTCTCTCAATGTTTTTCCTCCTGCTGTGGTTTTGTTTTGTTGTACACTTGGCAAGCACTCCCGCTGAGCAAAGTACCAGTATTGTTGTACTGCACTCGCTCTCTCTCAATCTCTGCAATGGTGATCCTGGAATGAAATCTGTCGCTGTCTCAGCCCCATACATGGAGGCGCCTGCAGCCACAAAAACGAGATTTAAATAAGGGAAGTCATTGCATGCTTTCATAACCGCTGTCCATATTGATCTCATTGCAATGATAGTCCCGCCACTGTGAGCAGTCCCAGCCGATCGATCCACCCGATCCATGTTCCCGCAATTTGCAATATCGCGTGATCATTTTCGAGGCCACTTGTGTGACATATAACAAACACCGCCTACATTGCTCTTAATTGGGTATTTCACAAAGACTAGAGCAAAAAACCAAGAGGAATTATCATGTCTTACGCCGTCACCAACCTCCCCGCGGCCAATGCGGCCTACGTCGCAGCTTTCGGTGACAAAGGGAGCTTGCCACTTCCTCCCGGCAAGAAAATCGCAATCGTTGGCTGCATGGATGCGCGACTGTGAGTCCATGTGTATTTCATTGGAACTTTTTGAGTCATGGTCGTCATCCTCTCGAATCGCCATCATTTCATTTGAGTGAAGTAACACCCACGCTGTGACCGGGCTGCACGAGGGTGACGCCCACCATATCCGAAACGCTGGGGGGAGGGTCTCGGAATCGATCCGATCGCTTGTTATCTCGCAGGAGCTTTTGGGCACCAGGGAGATTATCATCATCCACCACACGTGAGTCGATGATATAAATCAATTCTGTTTTCGTTCCTTCGATTATAACGGGCACCATTGGCACTTGAAACAATCAGTGACTGTGGTATGCTAACGTTCAAGACAACTGATCTTCACGAGAAACTCCGCTCCCGTCCGGGGCTCACACCGGGGCAAGTCGCTGCTGTGGAATCTATAGCCGCCTTAGAGTTCTCCGATGTGGAGAAGAGCGTCCGCGACGACATTGCTTTTCTCAAAGAGCACCCACTGATTCTCAAGGAGACTGCTATTTCGGGTTTCATTTACAAGGTTGAAACTGGCGAACTGGTTAAGGTGGCATGAGGGGATTTGTTTTACCACACAGATGATAATATGGGATTATCTTCGTAATTTTATTTTGTTGGGTTTGACTTATCCGCTGGTTTTGAATACAACCTTGCATTCAAGGACTTGTGAACACAATCAGAGTGGTCACGCTACATGTTGAAAATTCTCATGTGTATTCCATTTTGTTTCATTTCTAAAATCATTCTTAAATTTCAGGGGCGGTGTTAGCCACAGCACCACACCAATCACACTTCATTCTTCCGCCCACAACACCACCAACATGTCTGAGATCAGACCACACCAAACAACAACCAATCACCACTTCGTGCAACCACCTTGTTTAGCCCTCCAACCTTGTTTTCTAGCATCCCAGCCAACTTGAACTGTTCACTGCATTTTGTACTGCTTCATATTCTCTGCATACGAGACTCCGTGGGGCATAGCGCCATCCCTCTTCTTCGTGGACTTGATCTGATCTTCAATGGCGTAGAAAAGGGAGCTTTGGCGGAAGTGGACGGAGAATTCAACACGGCGTTAGCGCCAGGGCAGTGCGATAGTTGTCCATATTTCGATGATTTTCGATGATTAAACGAAACGGTCAAATTCGAGATCAGAGAGCGACCCCCGCGTTGCCCCCTCGGATCCGTAGATAAATTACCCGTCGTACTGCCTCCTCACTCCATCTTTGGGCACCACACCGTTCTTGGCGCAAAGGAGGTAGAGGGTGCCCCATTCGAAGAAGGCCGCGAACCTGAATATTTGATAAGTTTGGAGTTCCAGATGATCGATCGGTAAAGAATTGAAGGGATTGAGAGGAACGGCGATCGTCATGGATGCAGTGCCCCCTCACACGCGAGTTAAGTACCTCCCAAAGGGATCCACTACATTACGCATGTCACGTCCCATCTTGACGAGCTCAAAGAGGTCGAGGCCGCCCTTGCTGGTACAGACGTGAGGTGAGGTTGTGCGAATGGGTACAGGCAACAATTGAGTGTCCCCGGTATGTAGGTAATGAACAGAGGAGACAACAGAATTTGTCGAGAAAAGTATCACGCAAGTCATGTCTCTGTAGCTGGAAGCTTTGGTTTCGACAACTCCCTTATGTTCCACCATAGATCGCCCTTTGCTCGACCACCTGTCCCGCCATTCGGAAACTCCAACGCCACTCACGAATCGTAGCGGTCAAAGATTTCCTCGAACTTCTCCGGGACGAATCTACCCAGCGTGTCGTAGCACTCGGAGTCGGAGCCGTGCTTCGCCTGAGTGGCGGGGAACACAGGGGAAATGTCCGTGTGGGAAATGTCGGGGTGGGAGTTCCAATGGTTGGTAGAGTGGTATAACGGTTGAGTTGCCGAGTCAGACAAAGGGTGAAAATTGGATAAGGAAAGCAGGGGGTGGTATGAACCAGTGCGCGGGTCAGGATTGAGAGGGGACGAGCAAGCATTCGCACCATGCAGTGAGTGTTTCAACGAACCCGGTGTATGTTCTTGATCTTGACTCCAAAGTAGGGGTCCTGACATAGAGAGATAAAAATAGCAATCAACGTCATTAGTGGAGTTTGAAGACCGATAGGGAGACTTAAACGGGCGGGAAGCACGTGTCGAGTATGCATCCCCGAGTCACGTTTTGCATGAACTCACCGGGATCCACGAGTCCGATGAGGGGTACGAAAAGTTGAGATTTATGATGATCATGGCGAGGATTGAGAACAAGGGGCTGGAATATGCATGGCGAGGGTGGGAAAGGAGATGATGTGAAATGGAGGTCAGAGGAAGTAGTTTGCGTAGTTTCTTCGAGGCGAACAAATAATCCAGAATTCGAGCTTACTTGAATCCAAGATCGCGAAACCCGCGGAAGGTGTCGAACGGGGAAACTATGCCATCGTGGTCTCTAGAATGAGAGGATGGAAAGACGGTAAGTCATAACTGGGGACCTGGGCAGGGAAGAAGAAGGAGATCGAGACGAAGAGACCAGTGAGACTTGCACCTGTCAAAGAATGTCACATGCTTCTGGAGCACGGACATGTTCTCTTGGTTAGTTGCTGTGGGTCCGCTCATGTCGCTCGGGATTGGGTTTGCAGTGGGACCCGCAGAGGATGATTCGGCAGAGGCGGCAGACATAATTTTGTCAAGTGAGGAGTCGGCGCGAGAAGTTTGAGTGGGGATGAAAAAAATGAGTACAGCGCGATCGGAAATGAAAGCAATGAGAAAGCGGTGAGGGTGTTGCTGGCACGAACATGTGATATATTGGCTGACGTCATGGTACACAAATGGACGCGACATCATGAACGAATATGAGCACTACAGTGGAGGAGGCTCGACTGGTTTTTGCAAGTTCCCCGCAGCGGAGAGGTTGTAGTTTTCCAAAGATTACCCCCCCGTGACTGTCACCGGTCACGATCCTCTTGCCACCGACGGCTGGGGTGGATCGGCATACAAACCACAAGTTTAACACACACGATCATGAGTGGTAGCCGGATCAATGCGCCAATCGGCCGACCCAATGTATTTGTTCTCTAGGATTGTTCTTTCCTAACCTGGTCATTCATCATAACATATATATTGCAAAGACACGCGGACACTGAATTGCTTTGGATTAGGAGTGACATAGTCCATTCGAAAACGAACGTGATCTGCATTTCGGGAGGGTAGGTATCGCTCAAAGTGACAATCGGGCACCGAGCACGATAATGTATTTAGCAGGAGCACTACATTCCGGTGAGATTTGAAGGGATCCCGGATGTTGCACTGAAGAACCGGGATCAAATCAACGAGTACTGAGGAATCGAGCGACAGAACGTGAAGAAATTGAAGAGAAAAGTACGTCAGAGGTTTGGTTGGAGAGCGTGAAACGGAGAATGTGGTACGGCCGCGATGGACAGAACGGGAATCTGAGACTCGAAAGGACTTCACATGTCTAAAACAAAGCCTGGACTCTTGAGTGATTCTCGCGGAGTGCTGGAGATGTTTGGCAAGCTGTTTAACCTGTCATCATCATAATCCGCACCACACTGCGCCGAATCCACAGACTCTCATAGACACTGGAACTTACACGCACACACTGTCTATGGCATCCGAATCCGCGTTCTCCTCGTTCCCATTGCCCGCACTGGACAACCAGACTCCGCACGCTCTCGACAATCCAGCCCCACAGCAATCGCTTCCACCCCTCCAACCCCTCCAAACCCTCCAACCCTCCAGCCTTTCACTCTCTTCCCTCGCCCCTCAGCAATCTGTCCTTCATTTCAACCCAATGTTCTACTCAAACCCCTCCGTCGCCCCTCCCGCCATCGCTTCTCCCCTCGCTCCCTCTCCTTCCACGCCCTCTCCGTCCCCTTCCCTTTCCCCTAGTTCTTCCACCTCTCCTATATCTAATCTGCTCTTCTCAAAACGCGTTCCAGTCACTATCCGCACCCTCGTCGACTCCCCTTCCGCATACTCGGCACCCTATGCCTCTTCACTGGCCCAACATCATGCACCTCAACAACCCTCCGCATCCCCTCTACCACCTCCCCAACACCCCCATTCCCCACTCGCCCCGTTCTCCGCCCTGCCTCCTCCCGCTCTCCTCAACAATTTCTCCATTCCAAACCCCAACCCCCAGCCGCAACACTTTTCAGAGTCCAGACATCCCGGAATTACTTTTCGACTGGAACTCGTGAAAAGTCCCTCCACGCCGGGAAATGGCGCCGGGACAGGCTCTAAGGTGAGTTACACCATACGACGAGGCATTGGAGGAGGGGAGGGGTCAACACGGAACTGGAACTGGAGTGGATGTCGGTGGGAAGGAGTTTGCGTTGGTGAGGGCACGAAAATCGGAGTTTATTTGAGAGTCTAAGGGAGGTATAGTGCAAAAGGAAGCACATGTGCAAGCGGGATGATGGGCGAACGTAGACGTGAAGGTGATGGTGTGGGA